TGACGATCGTTCATTTTGGCAACGATGGTTTTGTGTTTGAGCTCTCTTTCGATAGATTCTATCTTCACCCATTCGATCTGCAGCAATAGTAGGAGATGTATTCTCTTCAGGATCATGTTCAACAGTACAATGTCGTCCTATGGAGATAGTCATCGACTCGATCGAGTGATGGTCAGTAGGAAAAACAAGATCCAAATATGAATAAATCATAGAACTTGTACTAGTCACAGATGAAATTAATTCGGATTGAAATGCATTACATTCACTGATCTTTTGTCGAGCGATCGTTTTGGCTTCTTCGAATGGTATATGCTTTCGTTTATGTAATAAGGTAGTCAGAGCTGATGTGGCTTTGATTGCTGTCGATGCAACCTTTTTGGCATTACCAGCACAAAGTAGAACAGTTTTATCGAATACCCAAAAAGGATAATCCGTTTCCATGATGTAACTATCTATTAGCTCATTATTTTCATCATTGATCGAATCAATGACAAACGTATCGGAGAGATATAAATTCGTACTTGCATATCTTGCAATGACTACTTCGAGTTGTCTATCATCCAGAGCATTCTGAAAGATTTGTGTCAATTGATCCAGATGCAATTCTAAATTATGATTTTTATGTATCCATTTAACTTTTCCACGCCGTTCGACGTAATCTATTTCGAATGCAGCCAAAACCAATGGACATGTTCGAGCAATGACTGGTGAAATAAAATAACGTTTATCGAAATCTCTTGATAAATTTTGAATGATTTTCGTTTCTAAACATGCATAAATAACATTAGCCGACCTCGTTGAAATAAGTTTTCGATCAATGGTAAGAAGAAGTATCGTTTTATATTGATATTGTGTTCCGGTTAATTTTTTCAATTGTGTTGATAGTTCATTACAAGTAAAAGAGAAACGCCATTCAAGATCTTCTCGACTACCACATGGTGCTTTTTGATGTTTGTTTGTAACGATGGCTCGATATAAATCAGTATCCACGGCATGCTCAGTAACACATATCATGATTAAAATTTCAAAGTATTGAAAGAGAGTTATCATAGCCTCCATTCCATTTTCGGTCAGAATTGTCTGACCATCACCCAAATCATAGAAATTATTTTTATCATGACGTGCGGAATAAATTGTCGAATAAATATCCGATATACTCACTACACATTGACAACCTAACATACGAAAAAGATCTTTGAACTGCCAATAAGTTTGATTGATCGATGGTGAGATCAGTTGTAATTTGCGATATTTACAAACTAATAAAATAGCTTGACGATGTTGATCATTATCAGACATGACTAAGAGATCTTTTAATGAATGGAATTGCTTTTGATCTGGAAGATATAACTGACACGATGAGAGTAGACTGGTCGGGTCGATCGTATCGTATTGCTGACGAACGTTCAATTGTAAACGGCCTAACCATTGAATATATAGATCAATATTAGTATTCTTTTCGTCGCTTAGCAATTGCAGAATTGTCACACATGTGCGAAGATCGTATTCAGCACAAACACCAAATTTGCTGGCTAATGAACGGCAATAAGATGGAACAATGATACGAGGTAATGACAGTAAATCAGTAACCATAGTTTCATCAAAAGTAGCTGAAATTGGACTGATCTGTTGTTCAGTATTGGACTCACTCACAATAGGAAACTGACGAAGACATTCTCGAGTTGCCTGTATTTGAGCCAAGAGAATCGATTCACTCAATTGAGTCCATTTTTCATCCGTCAGTTTAGTAAACGACGGTAATAGAGGTAATTGATCGATTTTATAATCTTTGGGAAGTTGAATAGATGATCGTTGGCAATTCATTTCAAGAAAAAAATATTCCCATTGAAGATCATTAATCAGATGACTCTCATGTGTGCCATAATAAGGATAATGAATAACAGGTGATGTTATTGATGGTATGAATGATCGAATATCTACACCGAATATTGTTGGTAAAATTGCATTTTGAATCAAAGTAAAACTTGACGCTCCATTGGTAGGTACTAGAAGTGAGGCAGATTTGTCAAATTTATCAAGGCGAGATCGTAAATACAATAAATCTTGCCATAATTCGTCGATTAGTTCTGTGTTTACAGAAGTTATCGTCAATGAAAGAGCTAACTGTAAATGATGATGTAGAATAATTTCAATCAATCGATTTTCTGTCAGAAGTTGTACTTTATTTGAATGGAGAAGAGCAATTCTTTCATATTGCGATATGCATCGTAGAAGTGTTATTTGTCGTTTCCACATTCGCATTGATGGATGATCATTTATAAAAAGAAGTAAAGACGCATCATTCATTGTTGGCAAATATTGTCGTTTCGGATCATCGTGAAGGATAAAGATCGATTTATATAACATTGTAATCGAAATTTCTGGTGTCATAGCTTTTGATAGATGATGAAAGAATTGAGACCACCAGCGTTCATCTTGTTTTTGTGTCCATAGTCGAAACTCTTGACGAAATTCATTCATTGTGTCATCACGATTTGGGAAACATTCAAGCACATCTTTGATAGAAACTGATTGAATTTGAAATGATTTCAAACGTTCCATTGTCAAGAAACTATCACTAGAATCGATCACTTGGATATTAGCACAATTATACAACTGTTCATTGGATATCAGTGATGTTAATTCTGAATTGACATGACGAATCAATTTCCCTAAATATGTTTATGGGCTATTATTGATCATGTTTTGAGATGAATATACTTACCTGTTCCAATATCGAATAGTATGGAAAGATATTTAGTAATTAATGAATTGATGCGATCTATCATAATAAGCCACCAAGACGAATGTTTGACTTGATGAGTATTAGATGATGGATAGTATCGACTAATATCTTTTCTCAAATCTGGATCATTTAATAGCAGATAAACGAAAAGAACTGCTAGGTTATCACGAAGATAAACATTAAATGGAACATTTTCACGAACATTTTCTCGACTTGTGACCAAGTGAAAATCAGCATTGAACATAAAATTGAATCCAAGATCACAAACAGGCAAACCAGTGTATACGTTTCCTGTCAGACAATAATCATTTTCACAAGGAAATGCCATAATGAGTGATGTTGTTGGAATTCGTCGTTGTTCAATTGAACTGGGTACATCGATATGACATGTGTACACTCGAAAAGTATTGTAACCTGTTAAGGTACATAGTTGATTAATCGATCCAGATAGGTTCATAAATGTACAATCCTCAAATATTACATTAGGTTGTATATCTAATTTTGTTGAACCAATCACTTGTTTTTTAATGATGATAACTTTCTCTTGTCGTCGATCTACAAGTTCAAGCTTTTCTAATTGTCTCATATTGAGTAAAATACATGGATCTACCGCTCTGGCCACATCATTAAGAAACTGATCAGCAGCCAGTGTATGTGCTGACAATTTGAGTGGTAAATAGAGATGAGTGTTTTGACTATAATTAGAAACCTGACTAGAAATACATTCTGGAATATTCTCGATCCATAATGGAGTAATATATGACATGGCATCAACACCTGGTACCTGAAAACAGAATTTCCAGGCGTGTGAAAACAGCATTGGTTGATTAGAAGCAGCAAAGACTGACTTGAAACCAACACCTTTTTCACCAATATGTTTTTGCTCGATTGTCTTCGTACTAACAGCTAAGCTACAAATAGCTAAAACATCTGGTGCTCGAAGACCTTGTTCATTGTTGGATAAAAGAATATAATCATGATTAAGTTCAATACGTAAACATGGAATAATAGCACAATCATAAATATTATCTTCAGCATTCTATTAAAACGAGACAGATCAATAAAAAAAAAGGAAGAATTACTATGCACTAACTTGAATCAATTCATGAAGAAAATGCACTGATGAGCTATATAGATCAGAACCAAGATGTTTGAGTGATCCACAAATAGACTTTCGCATATCATGATCGTCGAATGTTGTTCGTCGATGGTATATTTCTCGAATACATTGTTCAGCTTGTTTGGCAGTAATTTCATGAGGAGATAGGTTTTGTAATTGACTGATAATATCTTCTTGGTCATTGGTATTATTCTTAGCCAAAACCTGAGTTAAAACATCTGATGAGATAGTAACGGCTGTCGATATTCCTAATTTGAGACGATCTATGTGCTGATTCAATTGTAAATTTTCTTTTCTTAATCGGTTTTGTTCGAGTTGACTACGTTGCAGTTCACTTCTTAACTGTCCTAATTCTTCGTTCACTGATTGATGCGCTTGTTTGAGCTGATCATAATCATGTTTTAATTGTAATGTGTCAATTTTCTTCCATTCTGTATTGAACAAATTTTGAATTTGTTCTTGTTGTGTTAATTTTTCATCTAGTGAAACTGATGTTTGAAATTGTTGATACAAATTATAATATGATGAAATTAAATCTTTAGTAAGAGATAAAGGCGCGAGTGGATTAGTAACCGAATCAGATGTAATTACCTTGGATGTTTCACTTTCTTTTTCATCGTCAGTATCATCACTTGAGTCAGATTGTTTGTATTTTGACTGTACGAACTTCGTATAGAAACGAATGCATGTATCTATTTGCTCGACTTTATTAGCACCACTTCTCAGTAACATTAGAATAGCTCTTGGAATCGTTGACAGTAAACGATCTTCATTTATCAGAGCAGAACTAATGGAACATGGACTGTATAAAAGAATCGGTGTTAAAAGAGCACATAGATCACTGATAAGCATAACACTCAAACGAAATCCACTTGCTCTTTGATACCTACTAGTCATGCGAGAATTAGCCAAGACATCAATCGTTTCCACAATTTGATATATATCATCTTCTGTCACTTGCTGACAATGATCCGCTGAACCATAGAATAAAGAGGCAAGGCTTCGCATACAGGCTTGTTCAAGTAAGATGCTAGCATGTCGAAAACACTGTCTTTCTGCAATATTTATTAGTGAGTTTTCCTTATTCGACCTAATCATAGAAGATTGATGCCGAGTAAGAAAAGACAATCAGACTTACTCGGAATCTGGCTCCTGCTCTGATTCTTGTTCCCAGAGAGTTTGTAGTGTTGCATAAGGTGATAGAAACCATTTGATTGCATCTAAGATTTTTCTTGATGCTAATGAATCATGTTTTAAATAAGCAATAGCATATTTATGTTCATTTAGATCAGCATTCAGAATCGTTGAACATAGTCGAAGACCACCCATAGTGAGAGCATAGTGCCGTTGAGTAACAAGCAACATAGACAATGTGTATATTTCAGGAGTATTATTAAATAATTCATGACGAAAGACAAAATGACGACTTAATCTACAAATCACCAGAATGATCGAATAAATAAGTGGTACTGAGGTGTCCTGATAATTTTCAAGCAATCGAAGAGCATAATGAACCATTTGTGCCGTAATTGTATTAGAATTTTTGGAATCAGTGGATCGAAAACCGCACATTAATTGTCGATAGTAAGCTCGCTTTTCTTCGTCGCTCATACGTTCAAATTCATCGAGCACCAATTGAACTACCTGACGAGCAGCATTTGAAGACGTGCTGGATTCTCGTAGATTACTAAGAAGTGGTTTTAATAGATCACTAGCATTCCTTTGATAATCTTTCTGCAAATAACCTCTTACAGCACGTATATCACGTACTGTTCGACGGCGAGGCTGTAATAATTTGAACATATCAGAACGGAGTCGATCATGAATGGCTCGGTATTTGGATGTTTGATTTCGGAAGAGGTCTTTTAATAAGTCTTGCAACTTGTTATCTGTTAATTCGTTGTTTTCTTCTACAAGTAATGTGTTCTGTTGGAGATAGTTTGAAGAGTGCAACAAAGAGAAGAATCTCTTGATGCGTTCATCATATTCAGGGTACGTTTTTGTGCGATATTCTTCAATAGATTGAGTAAGGGATATCCAATTCTCAAAGAGTCGTTGTTCGTTGACCAGTAAACAAAGAACCGTGAAAGTGAAGCTCACCAATGAAAGATTCTCATCTTTTACTTGAAGAAATACATTAAGTAATGCGGGCTCTACACACAAAGATCCCTTCAGCATAATCCAATTGGCAGGCTCAGCTTTTTTATCTTTATCTTCTATGTCTGTGTCAGTTTTTGGTTCAAGTAAATCCAGAATAGTTTTTTTAAATGTTTGTAATTGAGCAGAATTCGATACATCACTTATATGAATTGGAAGAACCTCGAATCCATGGCAACATTTCTCTGTGGAAATCAATGCGGACGGATCGAGGGCTTCTGTTTGGGTTTGACGATTGAAGACCTGATCGCTGATAGTCATCAAAGACTCATAGTTGGTGTAATTGGTCTTCTGAGCTGGCGGATTTATTCCTGAATAGTGTGCGACCAGGTGTTTGACTCGTTGATACATCATACTGTCTGGTGAACCAGTTATAATTATAAAATTGATTCGCGCTAAAGGTTTGCCGAAAAGTTGACAACACGAACAAGGAGACTCAGTCATGTTTTTTATCTAAAATGTGTCACAATTACATCAACAGATATTAATGTTTCATCTTTCATTGGAGCAGTAATATTTTCTATCTCGATCTCAACTCAAAACTCTTGGAATAGTTTCGAAAACGTCGAAATACTGTCAATCTAAATGGCGTCACGACTACTGATACTATTGTTTGACGTGAAAAGTTTCTTTTAAATCACTACAGCGTCAAGGTACTAAACTTAGCATCTAGCTCAAGGACGGTGGGATGTGGATGTGAGATGTGGCCAGTGTAAATGTGGACTTTCACTTCACTCATCCATCTCCATACCCACACCCTAAATTGTATCGGTCTCTACTTCTGATTGCGTCTTTGGATCCTAAACAGAAATGCTTTTCAATGAAGAATTGCATAAGGCGAAAACATACTTGAAACGGGTAGTTGTCAGTTAGGAAGTAGTTTCTGTTGGGGTGATGAGTTTACTTTTACCATTGATGAAGGTTGGATACAAGTTCAATAGCATCCGTAAACTGAGCCGAAGACATTTCAGACTTAGCCTGAATGACATGATCAACTTTAGCTTAAAACGTATGTCCCCAGAATAGTCTGACGCACAGGGTAGTTACGGATATTCGCACCGTAACAAAAGTGCCTTGATTGCATCTACGTTTTCGTCAAATCTTTTGGCTTCTTAATCAAATTTATCTAAATTATCACTTCACAATTATCAGAATCTATTAGATCCATTCTTTCGAAAACATACCACACGCTTGCTGAAGATCAAAAGCATTGATCCAGCTATCAACGAATCGAAGGAATTTTTTCCAGTTTAGTTGATCATTGTTAGCTATGAAAACTACGATAGCGTCCAGAATAGCTTTGATCTCCTTCAGATCTTTCTTTCTATGCAACAGATCTGATTCAGTGAAGTTTTCTTCTTCGTATCCTTCTTTAAGTTCATTGGCAAATGAAGTCATACATTTAAAGATTGTTGGTAGTTGTTCCACTGATGTTCTTGCATCATTTGCTGTGGTTCGAATCCTAGTTATTGTTTCTGCTTCCCATGCATTCATTTTTTTGGAGAAAAATATTTAAACATCCGTCATCATTGATATCAATTTGAAGTGTATTATGATGGATAACCAACTCGTCAAGTTCCCCAATCAAAGAATCGTGGTGTTCATTGAAGTGCTGGCGACAAAAAATCTTTGTGGCAGTCACGACATAAAGAGACGCCGACACTTACTTTCTCAGATGTAACAGCACAAGTAGCACATGTCATTTTCAATCAATGATGTTAAAATAAAACCCGTTGACAGAAAATGGAAGAGAAATAACGAAACGTGATTGGATTGTAACTCTTGTAGCGCTTGTAAAGAACACTTTAAAAAAAAAGCTTTTTTTCTGTTTGCGATAGAACAAAAACATGTTAACATGGCGTGTTGTTGTCTTCAGTATGTTCTGCGCAGCAGCGGCGTAGACAAGGGAGGGGCAAATAGGCAATTGCCCATTGTAATTTTTATTAGTAAGCTTTTGTCGGTTGAAATTTTACTTTTTCAGAATTGTTCATTTCTTTTTTGAAATCAGTAGTGTCTCTATTTTTTTCTTGTCTGAATTAAGCACGCACTTTTTTCTTATTCTTTCTGTGAACAATTAAGAAAAGAAGGAAAGAATCGCTTCTAGTATTTTAACCCGACTTGCCAGATGAAAAGCAAGAAAATCGGAAACTAATCAAAAAGATTAACTGTTTGCAAACCAACTGCTATCATATTGACATAACTGCACAAAATGCTTCACTTTTTTTGTTTATTGACTGATACTTTATTTCCAAATGTATTTCATAGTAAAGAAAGACACCACAAACATTGTATAGATTAGAGTAAAAGATCGTGTACTGTAAGCTTAGGAGTTTGATCATAGTAGAATCAAATGAATGTTCTTAATATCAAACCAACTGATTAAAAATGAGCTACCAATAGCGTACGTAGACCGAAACCTATAAATTTCAACATATTTACAATTTGTTACGCGCCCACACTACGAAATTTCATCAACGTTTAGTTTTCTTTTTTTCGTCATGGTTGAATGGAACACGACTATTCACATAAGAAGAAACAATATCACACATATTCAAAAGCAATTTGACAGCAACCAGAATT